GCGCAGGTGGTGCGCGTCTTGTCGCATGTCAGTTGGTTAATCCACCGGCCACTCCAAAAGCACCCTTGTGCCCCCTTCCACTGATGCAGGTCCCCTTCGAGCGAATTGGCATGGACCTCACCGGGCCATTAGAACGGTCAGCACGAGGGCATCGTTTTGTGCTAGTCTTAGTAGACTACGCAACACGATACCCGGAGGCAGTTCCGCTTCGCAATATCTCAGCTAAGAGTGTTGCAAGCGCGCTGTTTTCATTAATCTCCCGGGTGGGGATCCCGAAAGAGATCCTCACCGATCAGGGCACGGCGTTTATGTCAAGGACAATCCGCGAACTTTACATGTTGTTAGGCATTAAATCGATTCGCACCAGCGTCTATCACCCACAAACGGACGATCTGGTCGAACGGTTTAATCGGAAGTTAAAAGCCATGATTCCTAAGTTCTTTCACGAAGACGCCAAAAATTAGGATAAGTGGCTAGAACCCCTGTTGTTTGCTATACGCGAAGTCCCCCAAGCCTCCACAGGGTTTTCCCCTTTCGAGCTTCTTTTCGGTCGTCAACCCCGTGGGGTGTTGGATGTACTGAAAGAGACTTGGGAGGACGGACCATCCGCTAGCAAAAACGAAATTCAGTATGTCCTGGACCTGAGAACGAAACTTCACACTTTGGGGCGGCTATCTTTGGAGAATTTGTTACAGGCCCAGGACAGACAGAGGCAGCAATATAATAGGGGGGCTAGACTTCGTCAATTTGCACCGGGAGATAAGGTCCTTGTATTACTTCCCACGTCCAGTTTGAAATTGCTCGCAAAGTGGCAAGGGCCCTTTGAGGTCACACGGCGGGTTGGGAATCTCAACTATGAGGTAGTTCGAACAGATAGGGGCGGGGGACGTCAGATTTACCACCTCAACCTGCTAAAAAAATGGGTTGAGGCTGAGGCAGTGATGCTGGCGACGGTGGTAGGTGGAGAGGAGGACCTCGGGCCAGAAGTGAATATCAAACCCCATTCCTTCGCTCTGGCTCCCTCTGGCGACCACCTCTCACCCTCGCAGCTCACTGACATTAAGAATTTACAAGCAGAGTTTGCAGATATGTTCTCGCCCCTACCTGGCCGAACGAATCTCATTCAGCACCACGTTGAGACTGATCCGGGGGCCGTAGTACGTTGCCGCCCGTATCGTTTACCAGAACACAAAAAAGTGGTTCAAGCCGAATTAGAGACGATGCTGGACCTGGGGGTAATAGAAGAATCCAACAGTGACTGGGCGAGCCCGATAGTTTTAGTCCCGAAACCTGACGGCTCGGTTCGTTTCTGTGTGGATTATAGAAAGGTGAACGCGGTGTCTAAGTTTGATGCTTATCCAATGCCGAGGATTGACGAATTGCTTGATCGGCTTGGTTCCGCTCGATTTTATTCGACACTGGATTTGACAAAGGACTATTGGCAGATCCCCTTATCTCCAATATCCAAAGAAAAAACAGCTTTTACCACGCCGTTTGGATTACACTAATTTGTCACGCTTCCGTTCGGGTTGTTCGGGGCACCGGCGACTTTTCAGCGGCCGCATGCTGCATATGCCGCTGCTTACTTGGATGACATCATCATCTATAGTAATGATTGGCAACGTCATATGCAGTATTTGCGTGCTGTCCTGAAAACGCTGAGAAGAGCTGGGCTCACGGCCAACCCGAAGAAGTGTGCAATTGGGCGGGTGGAAGTAAAGTACCTGGGGTTCCACTTGGGACATGGACAGGTGCGTCCCCAAATTGATAAGACAGCTGCAGTTGCAACCTGTCCAAGTCCGAAGACCAAAAAGGAGGTTAGGCAGTTCCTGGGGCTGGCGGGATATTATAGACGGTTTGTACCTAACTATTCGGACCTCGCTAGCCCGCTGACTGACCTAACTAAAAAGGGCGCTCCAGATACGGTTCAGTGGACGGAGCAATGCCAGCGGGCTTTTACCCAGATAAAGGCTGCTCTGTGTGGCGGCCCGCTTTTGCATGCTCCTGACTTTTCTCTCCCTTTCATCCTACAGACGGACGCGTCGGACAGGGTTTGGGCGCGGTCCTGTCCCAGGAGGTGGGGGGGGAGAACGGCCGGTGCTGTACATCAGTCAGAAGCTTTCGAAGAGAGAGACGATGTACAGCACCATTGAGAAGGAGTGTTTGGCCATCCAGTGGGCTGTCCTCACCCTCCGCTACTACCTCCTGGGCCGGGAGTTCACCCTGTGTTCGGACCACGCGCCCCTCCAATGGCTCCACCGCATGAAAGATACCAACGCGCGGATCACCCGGTGGTATTTGGCGTTACAATCTTTTAAGTTTCAGGTGGTCCACAGGCCGGGGACGCAGATGGCGGTGGCCGACTTACTCTCCAGGAGGAGGGGGGGGGGGCTGCAAGCCGGACGGTTCCCCGGCCTGAGTCGGGCGGTGGGGGTATGTGGTAGGGGGGCGTGGTTTTCGCGGCGTCTGTAGTGAGAGACGAGTCAATGAGCTGCGCGGAGAGTAAGTTGGTCAAGTGCAAATGATGAACAGTTGTGTCTATTTGCAGTGATTGGAGTGGGGAGACCGTAAAAGCCGCAGACTGGGAGAGAGGAGGAGAGAGAACTGGGAGCTTGTGTGTGGCTGTGATCAGCGGGACGAGTCTGAGCCCGGGAAACCTGAAAAAAAAACCTGTGTACAGCGGGAAAGAGTTTATGATTTAGTGTTTGTTTTATTTCTGAGTTTTATGTGAAGAGTGCTGAGGCGCCGTGGAAAGAGATACAAAAATAAAAACACACAAGCTCCTCTATTCGCCGACCCTGTCTCCTTCTTCACCCTTAACTGAACCCTATTAAACCAACCGCGAGAGTTCCACAGGGCGGAGTTCCACTCCCACCCGATGCTCACGGTGACCCGAGATAGCATGGCCGTCATCTCGGGATCAGACACGGCGACGCTGACGCTCCCGAGGGAGGCAACGCAGCCGCATCCTCACTTCCCGAGGAATCAAGCCCGCCTTGTGATGCTGCGATCGACATCGGATCATCCTCTGGAGCGCCGAACGAAACAGACGGTACCTGCGAAGAGGCATGCGCCTGCCGCAATCCGGCGCTCGCTGGCTCTGACACTGGAGCGGTGGGTGTGGCCCGAGGAGCTAGCGTCGGGGGTCTGTTCCACACAGTCACCGTCAAATCACCCTATCCGCGAGTCGAAGAGCTTCTATTAAGAAGAAGCAGAACGAGTAGCGGACACGGGGACTCTCACTTTTATCAGATCATTGAGTCTAGATCACAGTGTAGAGATGATCATGTTCCCCTTATTCAGAAGGAACATGAGTCATCCACGAACGCTGCTACTGCATGCAGAATGCCCAGACACACATGAGCAGCGATCGTGACCATCAGAAGATGACATGAATCGACCGCACCCAGGAAAACACGGGCGAACTGTCTTTAAAAAGACGTGCCACGTGCAGCTCTTTCAATGGAGAGGAGGAAATTCACTCTTTCAGCGCTGAGGCGTCCAGGGAGAAACGCACAGTCTGGCAGACCACTGCTCAGATCGCAGGCAATGCAGAATCTCGCTGGGTACTGCCATCACACCAACACTGAAGAGGACGCTCGTCTCGAAGAGTTGTACTCAGTGAAACTGGCTTTGGGAGTGAAGAAGTCTCTGCGAAAACATACTGCGGTTGCGTTCACTTCCTCCTTTTATACCCACGGGGTGGGGCGAAGTTACGCTATGCAAATTCCGCAGCCCCAAGGCATTTTCATGCCATTGGCTCGTTATTAAATACTCGAAGAGGATTGGCTTTCTATGAGAAAACCCCCATTCTCCGTCACTCCTGACGTAACTCGGAGTGACTACGAAAGGGAACGCATGCATGCTAGAAATAGAACTGACGCTTATTTTTTCACGCGACACGCAAGCGTGTTGAAAGCGTTTCCAGGCAAAAATAAATAAATAAATAAAAAATAGGAAACGATGTTTATATGTCATTTTGTACTCGAATAGCCTACATTTTACATTTTGATGTTTGAAAGTCAAGGTTTTTACATAAATTCAGATATCAATGTAATTTAAACAAATAATAATTATAATAATCGATTTATATTGCCATTAGTTTTGCCTATATATAATTTAATGTCATATAACATATGAATAAAATATCTTTTTTTATTATTATTATTTGTTTCTTATGCTCTTAACAATGTGATTACACGAAAAAGAAGAAAAAACTTTTGGAAAAAAACGTTCTGGGCCTCAGGAGGATATAAAGATGGGATAGGCTACAATAACAACAGAGTGTGTCTTCTGAGTGACGGTCCACCACCAGGCTAAATATAGGCTCTTTAAAACTACACAAAATGTATAAATGTAATTGAAATAAACAGACAGCCCACTTCCCTATTTTGTGGGTTTTGGAAGATGTGATAACAGTTGAAATTGTTGTCTTAAAGGCAAGAGCAACACGTACACCGCTAATCCAAATGTAGATTTTTTTTCTTTAAATGACACTAGTTTCTAGGCTAGTTATTAACTCTTATACTTTTAAGGATTAGTGCTTTATTTTTAAAGTTTGTGGGTAAGAATCGTGTAAAAAAAAATCCCTTATTTTGGGGATGGATTCCGGGAAAACTCCCTTATTTTCAATGTTCAATGTTGACAGCTATGACTTTCTGTACCATCATGTCAACTTGAACTTTACTGGGAGAAAATGGCCTTTGACTTCCTGTGCACATACACAGTGTGCAGTAAACACAGTACCTAAAATCTGCAATTGTTACAAAGCAATACAAAGCAGGAACTCAGGCAAATGTGATCTTAAATAAACCATGCCTTTATGTTTTGGTATCGTTCAATCTAAACTGATCTGTTTTCGTGTATCCGAGTTAGAACTAAAGAGTTGAAATTGAATAATCTCTGTTTCTCCGTATAAATATTTGACAATTTTGAGGGATTGTTGCCCACCTCTCACATTAACACATTCAATATATAGAGAAATTTCCTTTGTTATGAAGGGTTCAGATTTTGCAGTATATCATCTATGGAATCGCCTGCTTCTTCTTCCTGTATGGCATTATCCTGTTGGCTGAGGGCTTCTACACCACCAGTGCTGTCAAAGAGATGCACAGCGAGTTCAAGACGACTGTGTGTGGACGCTGCATCAGTGCCATGGTAATGCCAGCATGCACATACAAGCATGGACATACAAAACAAGGCACAGCAGAAAATGCCTGTACCTAGATTTCTGCAAAACTCCAAAGACGTACATGCATACAATTGAGATTCAGTTTCCAGCGTTTTCTTGGACAATACTATGTTAAGACCTCCAAACACTTTTGCCATAGTGCATGGTTTATAAACTAATACATTTTGATGTTTGCATAACATAACCAACACCACTTGATAGAGCATTAACCTTTTAGTTCACCAGACAGTTAATTTCCGAACTGCTGTGATATAGACCCAACCAATGAAATACAATACTGCCAGATTCAGATTCAATACAAGGCTGCCACAATATCACACTATCACATTAACGAGCTCATTCAAATTCATTTACCCCCCTCCATAAACATTAACTCTTGAGGACAGACCTGGCACGATCAGTGCAGTGTACCCTAATTCCTATAATTGCTGCAGATGTCCAGTGGGATTCATCTTTGGTCTTCGTTTCCTGTTTACACTTTTGGGCTTCGGGGTCTATACGACCCCAACAATTGATTGAGTAATTGTACAAAGAATCTAAATTTTTAATCATACAAATAATATCATTTTTTTTTTTTTTACTTTTCATCTATTCATTAATGCTGTGTTTTTGGAGATATAAAGTACTTTTGAATCCATATACCACACAAATCCTCAACTACACCATTAGCTTGCATATGAAATGTTATTTTTTTATGATACATTGCTTTCATGCTCTAGTACTAGGCCTTCACTTCCTATGTAAAAATTGTCATTATTATGCCGGATTTCTTTTTTTGTTGTTGTTGTTGTTGTTGTTTTTTTGACACATAAAGAAAATATATTTAGTTTTTGTTTTTTTCACATTTCCCATTCATTTCAATGTGGGGTCATTGACCCTAAAGACCAGAAGTGTAAACATTTTTTTACATACCTTCAGAACAACCGAATCAAGCCCAGTTTTTTGTGTGTGATTGATAATGTATGAAAAGTCACAAAATCATATTCCACTGAGATGAAGGGAAACTTTTTTTATTAAGTAAAGCTAGAGCCTTCAGGCCATGTATGGATGTGTCTTTGTATGTACTGTATGTGTACTCTTGTGATGTTTTTTAAGCTGGGAATCATGTGTGTATATTCGCATGAGTGATTGTGATAATCTAGTTGCGACAGATCCAAGGTGATTCAGCGGTAAATAGGTCATCATTCTGGGTCACGTTCATGCTGTATACACTGCAGGATTTAAACAGGATTAAAACTATGAGATTATTCTAGTCATTACGATATTATTGAGTGGATATTTATCATGCGAGTCTAACTGCAACAACCTTTTTTCTTCTTTCTTTTTTGAAGTTTGTGTTCCTCACCTACATTCTGGGTTTGGGATGGCTAGGCATCTTTGGCTTCTCTGCGGTGCCTGTTTTCCTCTTTTATAACATGTGGACCACGTGTGGTGCCATGAAGTCCCCCATTGCCAATCTCACCTCTGTGGACAACATCTGTGTCGATGTGCGGCAGTATGGTAAAAAAAAAAAAGATTGAGATTGAATCATTAGATAATTCTTGGTCATATTGATTTGCAAAATCAACATCAATTTACAATGTAAGATTTGATTTTAACAGAATATTAACTAGTTTACACTTCCTTTTATAAATACAATTAGCCATTTCCTTCCCTGGCATTTACTGAAAGCCCAACCAGTGGCAAACTATATAACCATTCGTTTAGTAACTATATAACCACTTTTTAGATGAATGTATCTAATAAATGTAAACATTTTCAGGAATCATTCCATGGAACGCAAGTCCTGGTAAAGCCTGTGGGTCCACACTAAGCGACATCTGCAATACTAGTGAGGTGAAGGTTTAACTCATTTGTCCCTGAAGATCATCATATGTACTGGAAGGAAGTTACCCTTTGAAGCTTGACATGAAATAATAGTCAGAAAAAACATGCAGTTTCTGTTATTTATACTGTAGGCTATGGCCAAAAAATAAGATGGCATTCTGATTGATTGTAATAAAGGCCTAAATAAATAACAGTACATTTTTATAACAGTATAGCAGACTACCGACATAAAATGCATGTAAATATCAATTGTCACTACTTTTTATATCCTAGAGCTGCAAGATTCATCATTAAAAAAATCATAATCTCATTCCTAAATGACAATGATTATGCCTGTCTCTATTAAAGGATTAGTGAAAATGTCCTGATAATTTATTCACCGCAACATCATCCAAGATATTCATGTCTTTCTTTCTTCATTTAAAAAAATCAAGGTTTTTGAGGAAAACATTCCAGGATGTTTCTCCTTTTTTCTTTTCAACAACACAGTATTATTTCTGTGTTATAAATATTTTTAGTATCACAAAAGTACTAGGATAAACACTGATAAAAATACAGAAAATCACCTTTTGAAAGTAATTTGACGCTTCAGCAGTTGTATAGATTACATTGTTACAGGACTTCTAAACAAATGTATTTGTCATTGAATAATTCATTCAAGAGATTTGTTCAAAAACTCTGAAAACTGTGATGTTCAGTAATGAAACAAGTGAAGTATTTATGAGTGAGTCATTGAATCATTCATTCAAATTCAAATTAAAAATGAATAAATAATTCATTCAGATTAATTCAACAGTCTAAATAGACTGCAGCAATTAAAATTTTGTCAGAACCTCTAGTAAATTACATGTTTTTTTTTTGTTTAATTGTCTGTTCAGTAGAATCGTGATCTCTGTTTGAAACAAAAAAAATGTGATTCTCAGTTTATCCAGAATTGTGCAGCTCTAATTTCTCCCAATATGTCTTATTAAGATGATATTTAAATGCTTAGTTTTAAGATCAAAGCTCTGTCATTTTTATTGTTGGGCCAAAACATATAATACGATACAATACAAAAATGTTTAAAGGAGTAGTTCACTTTTTAGAAAAAAACCTTTGCTGATAATTTACTCACCCCCATGTCATCCAAGATATCCATGTCGTTCTTTCTTCAGTCGAAAAGAAATTAAGGTTCTCTTTCGTCTGGGAATTCATACGTCTCGTCGGAGGAGTTTCCAACTAATTGGGATTCACGCTAGGGAGACTAATTGCCTTCGAGTGAATTAAAAATGAGCCAATGAATATTGATATGTGGAATTTGCAATCCACGTCCCGCCTATCAATGCGGGTATAAAACGGAAGCAAACACACATACCTTTGCTTTTAGCTTCGGAGCCGAACTTAGTGTCCTCTGAGTGATGAGCTACAAAGATTAGTTTGATATCTTCACGCTCAACGAGTCTGCTGTTTCGGGAAGAACCTCATTGGTAGTCTGAAGGTTACAGTGAGGAATGATCTTCCGGGTGAAAGACCCCCTCGGACATCCCACTCCTCTTCAGCCATGCCACTGGGGTCTTTGGAGGAGTGTACTAGGTCATACCATGTGGCTCCAGTCGTTTACTTCGGGGCCTTTCCGGATGACCAGATGTCGATCGCAGCATCGGAGGGAGATGAGTTGCGATCTGGGGATGACGACTCGGCTGCACTGCCCCCTTCGGGTGTGGTAGTGTTCTCCGAGCCTGACCCGGAGATGACACTTATGCTCGCCCGGGCGGCCGAGAAGGTCAGGCTCGTGTGGAACCCTCCACCACGTCCCGAACCGTCTCGGGTTGATGATTGGTATCTCGGGGCGGCCCGTGCTGGTACTCAGCGCACCGCGCCGGTTCCTTTCTTCCCAAAGGTGCATGAGAAGGTGACGAAATCTTGGTCGAACCGCCTGGCAGCTAGACTGAGGTTGACTCCCTCCTACTCCCTCACCACTCTCGATAGCGTAGCAACGCAGAAGCACATCTTCGAGTGCATCCGTCCCCAGGATTGGTTTGCAGCGATCGACCTGAAGCATGCATACTTTCATGTCTCGATTCTGCCTCGACACTGGCCCTGTCGCCCCGCATCTTTACGAAGGTCGTGGAGGTGGCCATTGTTCCCATGAGAGAACATGGCATTCAGATTCTCAACTATCTCGACGACTGGCTGATAATGGCTCACTCACAAGATCTGTTGTGTGATCACAGGGACCTGGTGCTCCGGCACCTCAGCCATTGGGGGCTTCAGGCCAACCGGGACTTCACGATCGAGTCCTAAGATGGGCGTGGAAGAGCGGCACGTTCCGGGTCAAAGTTACCCCGCACTGTCGCCAAACCTTCGTCCCTTGGTCGGACCCTGCGTTTCTACGGGCCGGAGTGCCTCTAGTCCAGGTGTCCAGGCATGCTGTAGTCTCCACGGATGCCTCAGCCATCGGATGGGGTGCCACGTACAACGGGCATGCAGTCTCAGGTCTGTGGACAGGGCCTCAGCTGCATTGGCACATCAACTGCCTAGAGTTGCAAGCAGTACGATTAGCCTTGTGCCGCTTCAAAGGGTTGCTTCGTCACAAGCATGTACAGGTCCGTTCGGACAGCACTGCGGCCGTTGCGTACATCAATCATCAAAGTGGTCTACGCTCCCGCCGTATGTCGCGACTCGCCCGCCATCTCCTCTTATGGAGTCAGAAGTTTCTGAGGTCGCTTCATGCTGTTCACATCCTGGGTGAACTCAACCGTGTAGCAGACGAGCTCTCACGGCAACCGTCCCTTCCAGGAGAATGGTCCCTCCAACCCCAGGCGGTCCAGCTGATATGGCAAGTCTTCAGAGCCGCTCAGATAGATATGTTTGCCTCTCCGGACACGACCTATTGCCAGTTGTTTTATTCCCTGACCGGAGGGTCCCTTGGCACGGATGCACTGGCAAACAGCTGGCCCCAGGGCCTGCGCAAGTATGCGTTTCCCCCAGTGAGCCTTCTCGCACAGACATAGTGCAATGTCAGGGAGGAGCAGGTCTTGCTAGTTGCGCCCAACCGGACCTGGCCCAACCGGACCTGGTTCCCGGAACTCATGCTCCTCGCGATAGCACCTCCTTGGCCCATTCCTCTGAGGAAGGACCTGCTTTCTCAGAGACGGGGCACTCTATGGCACCTGCGTCCAGATCTGTGGAGACTTCATATCTGGTCCCGGACGCGGAGGTTCTAGAGGGCCTACCCAGCTAGAAATTTTACGTTCCCAGAATGTTCTGAGAACGTCTCCACTGGTGTCAAGGACGTTGCATGGTAACGTTCCCACAACGTTCCCAGACAGTCATGATGTAGAGTTCTTTAAAGGGTTTGAGGACGTTATTTGGAGGACCTTTAGGGAACATTCAGGATGTTCTGGGAACGTTTAGGGGACAATATTTAATTCAGAAATCCAATGTTTCCAAAACATTCTGAGAACGTCCTGCTGGTGTCAAGGACGTCGCCTGGTAACGTTCAGCAAGATTCTTTTTTTGAGAAACACAAGGTGTTGGTAGCTGCAGTCCTCATCAGGTCAAGTCTTAGCCAAGTCTTAGCCAACCACACTCTGAAACGAACAGTGTTTCCCCTACCATTGTTTGCATCACTTGCGCTGTTTTTTTGCCTATATGAAGACAAATGTATGAACTTCCTCTCCAGGCTCTAGATCCACTCTGAAAGTCACTTTGTGATCATTTTACTGCTTCATTTGAGAAACTATCATCATGACATAAACACACAGAAACTCAAAAGGTCTTCGCGGCAACCCGTCAAAATAAAAGTTCGGTTTAACTTGACAGAAATATATTACTGTTGTAGTAGAATTTAGATATGTCCTAATGTAATAATACACTAACACTAATCCAAATAAATCATGATTTTTGTTTTTTAACAAAACTGAATTTAAGGTATAATCAATGTTTTAATTTTAACAGTAAAGATCATAGTGCAGCATGTTATTTTAGAAAAAGTTTATGATAAATGAAAAAAATTTATTACCAGCAAAAACACAACACAGAATTAGTGTGGAATTTTTTTCATACATATATTTTGTTTCCTTAAATGTTCATAATATATGATTTCAATTAATTAGATATGCTTTTTGATTGCTAAAAAATTACATGCCCGCTCCGCAACACTAGCAGGTTCACCCCCTTTTATGCTATGTGACCATAAAATAACCAACATGGAACGTCCCCCTAAAGTCACATAAAGAACGTCATTGTATGACCAACTTAGACCCATATGAGAAAGTTTTGATTACATCCTCTTTGTAACGTTGTTATGTGACCATAAGATTGCCATTACGGAACGTCCCCCTAAAATCATATAAGGAATGTTATAATATGACCGACTTAGACCCATATGAGAACGTTTTGATTACATCCTCTGTTATGTGACCATAAGATTACCATTACGGAACATCCCCCTAAAGTCATATAAAGAACGTTATAATATGACCAACTTAGAACCATATGAGAACGTTTTGATTCCATGCTCTTTGTAACGTTGTTATGTGACCATAAGACTGCCATTACGGAACGCCCCCTAAAGTCCTATAAGGAACGTTATAATATGACCGACTTAGAACCATATGAGAACGTTTTGATTACATCCTCTTTGTAACATTGTTATGTGACCATAAGATTGCCATTACGGAACGTCCCCCTAAAAGTCATATAAGGAATGTTATAATATGACGACTTAGACCCACATGAGAACGTTTTGATTACATCCTCTTTGTAACGTTGGTATGTGACCATAAGATTACCATTACGGAAAATCCCCCTTAAGTCCTATAAGGAATGTTATAATAGGACCAAATTAGACCCATATGAGAACGTTTTGATTATGTCCTCTTTGTAACGTTGTTATGTGACCATAAGATTACCATTACGGATCGCCCCCCTAAAGTCATATAAGGAACGTTATAATATGACCAACTTAGAACCATATGAGAACGTTTTGATTCCATCCTCTTTGTAGAGTTGTTATGTGACCATAA